ATCATGAGTTCAAAGCCAGCCTCAGCAAAAGAGAGATGCTAAGCAACTCAGTGAGACCCTGTTTCTAAATAAAATACAAAATAGGGCTGGGATGTGGCTCAGTGGTCTAGTGCCCCCGAGTTCAATCCCTTGTACCTCCCCCCAAAAAGTAAAGAAAAACATCAGTGATTCTCCTTCTCTCCTTGATTGAAAACAAGAATCCTTATACTAAAAGTACTAGTCCAGACATCATACCCAACATATTTTACAGTTCCCAGGACTATGGATGATATACTATCAATTTTTGTACCCACATGACAACAATTTCAGTCATCATTGTCATACAGTAGAAAGTCATTTTTTTCCTATTTACTATTATAGAAATCTTAAAAATCATGGCCAAAATATCTGTTTGTTTGTTTGATTTTTGGTAGCAGGGATTGAACCAGGAGCACTTAACCACTGAACCATATCTCCAGCCCCTTTTTTATATTTTATTTAGGGGCAGGGTCTCACTGAGTTGCTTAGGGCCTTGCTAAGTTGCTGACGCTGGTTTTGAATTTATGATCCTCCTGCCTCAGCCTCCCAAGCCACTGGTATTACAGGCATGAATCAAATTGAAACAAATTCTTTGACACACTTCCTATTGAACAATGAAGTCTTAGTCCCTTTTACCTTGCATATGAGCTGACTTGTAACTGTTTTGAAACAAAAGATTAAATTAAAAGTGATACTAGGTGATTCTGAGGCTAGGTCATAAAAGGCCATCAGTATCCATCTAGTTCTCTAGGAATACTCTTTGAGAGCCCTGACAATATATGTAAGAAGTTCAAGTACCCTGAGACTAATAGCTGGAAAGGTTAAAGGTAGACATTTTGGTCAATGTCTAGTGTCAGTCAAATCCATCCATCCTTGTCAAGGTACCAGACATATGAGGAAAGCCATTTTGATTCTCCATATCAACTCAGCTGCAAGGTGGATCCAACTGTGTGGAAAAACACACCCCACTGATCCCATCTGAATCTCTGACTTACAAACTCATTAAATTGTTTTAGTTTAAGCCACTGGGTTTTAGAATAAGCTATTATCCTGAAATAGATAACTAGAAAACACTTCCAATTTTACAAAGAATCATGTAAAAAGTGACCATCTGGGAAAATTCAGAAACTCTTTTAAATAAAAAGTGAGCATGCCACTTGTGAAAAGAATAGCATATACCAAGCCTCTGTATGGATGCCAAGCTGTGCCTTTCCATATTCAGGAACTCCCAGGACAGCACAGTTGATGTTTTTCTTTTAATGTTCCAAGAGGGACTGTTTGCATAAAAAAGTATGCAAGCAACTTGCTTTTGATATGTTTGGTCCCTGCTCAGTCTAAGAAAGTAGTAGATGATTCACTGAAATGGGAATCCATAGTTTTCTCTCAATCACATTGGTAATTCTACTCACAGCTTCCCACACCACAGATAGACACTCTAAACCTTTTCCTCTCTTTTATACTCATTTTTTTATTATGCTATCTTCTGACAGACGTACAGCTAGGGATGTAGACAAGGCCATATTGAAGCTTGGCTCTTCTTCTTCATTCTATTTTACCCTTAAAACCCTTAGAAATCTACCATCTACTCAAAGAAATATTTTTAAGTAAATCTGGTCTTTAATCCACTTTCTGATCACTGCCTCCATTTTATGAGCTCTCTGAGAGAAAAATTCTTAACTGCTGTATCAGGGGAGAATATCCACCATGAGAAGTACCATCCTGAACACATAATTTGGGCTGGTGATGTGGCTCAGTGGTAGAACACTTGCTTCACATGCATGAAGCCCTGGGTTCAATCCCCAGGACCACAAAATTTTTTTTCCTAAACACGTTAGTTTATCTCATCAGTTTCCTATCAAATATGCCCACATTTACATGAGATAAGGTCTTTAGAAGAATAGAGATGGTGGGGCCGGGGTTGTGGCTCAGTGTTAGAGCACTTGCCTAGGATGCAGGAGGTACAATGGGTTCAATCCTCAGTACCACATAAAAATAAATAAATAAAATAAAAGTATTGTGTCCATCTGCAACTAAAAAGAAACAATTAAAAAAGAATAGAGATAGCAGCCAGTCTAGTACAGCAGAATTGCTCAGGAATCTTTGTTAAGAAAAAATTACTGAAAGATGGCATTGAGGTTATGCTGTTTAAAATATTAAAATAGTATGAGATTCTTTAGTTTTTTTTTTTAGAAGTCTTAAAGACAGATCTTGCATATTCCCAACAGGGCCCTCTTCAGAGTCAGAAAGGCACCTAGAAAAGCTTCCTCTTTATACAGGAAATCTGCCACACAAACACTAAAAGGTCACCTCTGAGATAATACAACCTCCCCCAGAGTACCATGAAGAACATCACAGCTGGGATGTTCTGCAATTCTTCCCACCATCATTCCTGCCACATTTTATATTTATTTATGGAAATAATGAGGCTCTGGTCATTTTCACATTCTAGGGCCATAGAACCTTTGCTGTTATTACAAGTCATATTTTAGAATCTGAATTTTAAAAGGATGCACAACTTTTAAACACCTCTCATATCATACAGATTGTGGTAGAGGACTCATGGGTCCTCAGAAAAGGGAAAGTTGCCATCAAGCAATGAATTCCTGGCATGGTGTGAAAGGCTCCTATTAACCTTCACAACATTCTTGGAATTAAGTGGGAAATGGGGAGCAAACACTCAATACATGATTGAAAAAATGTAGGGAACAAAAGGGTGCACATAATTAAAGACAGAAACAAATGAGTCAGTCATGTGGTAAAGAGCCAGCAAGAAGGGTGAGAAAAACAACATCTCAAAAGATGGATATTCTCATTCAATATTTTAGAGTTTTGTTATTGGATAAATAAAAGAGATCATGAAACAATAAGAGCTGAAGAGTAGTACAGCTGAGCATCTAGTGGCATCTGAATGAAAATGGGGTTGAATGCCTCTGAAAACAACATGGGCAGCCATCCACAAACTCTCTGGGGAGAAGAAAATATTTAGTAGAGTTTGGATCAGCTAGGGGACCATCTATGAGGTTTCAGAGAAACCACCCACATTGGTCTCTCCTTAGTACACTTAGCCAATTTCTTAAGCTAGGAAATTTCTCAAGTCACATTTCCACATGTGGAAAATCTTAAGAATAACCAAAGATAACTAAAAATGATGCTTAAAGAATTGACAGTTTTTCCCTTTACAAACACTAACATATTTACTATATCATATTGTGTACTTTATAATAACCATAAAAGGTAGGGAGAATTTCTCCCGCTATACAAATAAGAAAAGGGGGACACACAGAAACAAAATGATTAGTCTGTAGTCAATAAGTAACTTAGGGGCCGAGCTAGAATTAGAGTCTAATTCTCCAATTTCCCTACATCAAAATTCTGCTTTCAAACCTGCTTCTCTAGGAGCCTAGATAAAATGGGAGCAGCATTCTGAAAAGTCAAAATCCTCTGTTGAAAAGAAAGATGGATCATTGATAAAAATTACTCTTATTATTGGAATAAATGAGTTTCATAAACTGAGATGTTAATTAAAGTTATGCCACAAGAGAAACAGAAGGTAGATCACTTTGTTATTCTCTACAGAGTTCCCACCTTACCCTCATGGTCCTAATAAAAAAGAATACTAATAAACATTGGTATTTCCATATTTAATTCCCAGTATAACCTGCATTTCTAACAATTTCCCAGGTGCTGCTGGTGCTGCCGGTCTAAATACCACACAAAGATTACTTTTTAAACTGTGAAAATAATTTGACTCAACAAAAAAAGAGGATGCTGATCCTAACGGGGGGGGGGCATGGAAAAAATGGAGGAACTTTGATTGGGTAAAGGGGAGGGAGATGATATGTGGGAAGGGAGAATGGGGGCAGGAAGTATGGTGGAATGAGATGGACATAATTATCCTAAGTACATGTATGACTGCACATATGGGGCAACTCTACATCATGCACAACCAGAGAAATGAAAAGTTGTGCTGCAATTGTGTCCAATGAATCAAAATGCATTTTGCTGTCCTACATACCTAATTGAAATAAATTAATTTAAAAAAATGAAAGTCTCAGGTTCAAATCTAGATGTAAAACATCTGTATGAGGAAACTACACAACTCTGATGATGTAAGTCAAACATGTTATAAGTAAATGGAGAGGTAATTCAAGTTTCTGAATATCAAGAGTCAATAGTTTTATGATACAAGATTCTTCCCAGCTTGATTTATAGATTCAATGAAATCCCTGTCAAAATGCCAGCAACTTATCTTGTAGATATGGACAAACTGATTATAAAGATTATACCTTACTTTGAGACTTACTATAAAGATAAGAAATCAAGACAATGCATTATTGGAGAAAAATAGACAAATATATCCATTCAACAGAAATACAGGTTAGAGATATAGATCCACACAAGTATAGTCAACTGATCTTTGATAAAGGAGAGAAAGTGATTAAATGGAGAAAAGACAGTCTCTCATCATTTTAACAAATGATGCTGAAACAACTGGATGTCCACATGGAAAAATGAACCTAGACCTATATATTAAACCCTTTGACAATTAACTCAAATAGATTACAGACCTAGATGTACAAGAGTTCTAGAAGATAGCATAGGAAAACTCTGTGACCTAGTTTTCTGGTTTTCTTTTATTTTTAATGTGGTGCTAAGGATCGAACCAGAGCCTTGCATGTGCTAGGCAAGTACTCTACTACTGATCTACAACTCCAGCCCATGACATTGGTTTTGTAATGAGTGTTTAGATAAAACACCAAAGGTATGCTCTATAAAAAAGTGATAAGCTGGACTTCATTAAAATTTAAAACTTCTGGGCTGGGGTTGTGGCTCACCTAGCATGGATGAGGCACTAGGTTCAATCCTCAGTACCACATAAATGTAAAATAAAGATATTGTGTCCACCTATAATTAAAAAATAAATATAAAAAATAAAAATTTCTGCTATGGAAAAGACACTATTAAGAATTAAAAGACTCAGGGATGGGGCTGTAGTTCAGTGGTAGAGCACTTGCCTGGCATGTGTGAGGCACTGGGTTCGAGTCTCAGCACCATATATAAATAAATTAAATAATAAAGGTCCATTGACAACTAAAAAAATATTTTAAAAAAGAATGAAAAGACTCGGTTCATTTCCCAGCAACACATACACACACACACACACACACACACACACACACACACACAAAGAATGAAAAGACAAGCTACAGATCAGGAGAAAAATTTCAATAAAACACAAATTGAATGAAGGACTGGAATCCAAAATACACAAAGAACTTTTTTTTAGTACCAGGGATTAAACTCAGGAGCACTTAAGCACTGAGCCACATCCCAATGCCTTTAAAAAAAAATTAGTTGTAGATAGACCTTTATTTTATTTATTAATATTCAGTGCTGAGAACTGACTCCAGTGCCTCACACATGCCAGGAAGGTGTGCTACCACTAGAGACAGGGTTTCCCTGAGTTGCTTAGGGAAGGCTTTGAACTCGCAATCCTCCTGCTTCAGCCTCCCAAGCCATTGGGACAAAGAACTCTTACACTCAATAACAAACTACCAATTAAAAAACTGACAAAAGATATTTCATATACAGACAGCAATTAAGCTTATGAAAATATGTTCAATATCATTTGACATTTTAAAAAGTTACAAATTAAAAACACTGTGATACCACCACATACGTTTTAGAGGGGCCAAAGTTGGAAACACTGACAACACCAAATGCTCACAAGGACAGGGAACATTGCTGGTATGAATGCAAAATAATACACTTTGGAAGATGATTTTATAGTTTCCTAAAATACTAAACATATTATTGCTATATGATTTTGCATGTGTATCCCTTAGTATTTACCCACAAGAGTTGAAAACTTATTTCTACACAAAACCTACACACTAAATGTTCATAGCAACTTTATTCATAAGGGGCAAAACATGGAAGCAACCAAGATGCCGTTCAGCAGTAGCACACCTTCCTGGCATGTGTGAGTGGGTGAATCAGCAAATATGCTATATCATAAATAAAATATTATTTAATTATAAAAAGAAATTAACTATAAAGAATTGAAAGACATAAACAACCCTAAATGCATATTGCTAACTATAAGTGTCCAATCTGAAAAGGCTACTTACTCTATAATTCCTGCTGTATCACATTCTGAAAAGGTGAAAACACAGTAATGGGTTGTGGGTGTAGTTCAGTGATAGAGCACTTAACAAGCATGTATGAGGCTCTGGGCTCCATCCCCAGTACCACCAAGGGAAAAAGAGAAAAGAAAAGAAAGAAAGAAAGAAAAATGTTTCCCAGGGTTTTGTCGCAGAAGAGAAAGGGAGCAGTGAACAGGTTAAGCAGGGGATATTTAGGGCTCTGAAACTATTCTGTATGGTAATATGGAGCTATGCCATTATACATTCATCAAACATATAGAATGTGCCATAAAGAGAGTAAACCTAAAAGTAAACCATGGTCTTTAGTTAACAATACTGTATCCATATTGACTCATTAATTATTAAAATGAACCACATTACCAAGACATTAATAATAGGGGAGATGAGGGGATATATGAGATCTCTCTGTAATTTTCACTCAATTTTTCCACAAAACTTAAAGTACTCTAAAAATGGACTTTGTCTATTCATTTTACAAAATTAGTCTTTAAATATAAGGGGAGGAAAATCACTGCATAGATTTTTAATAAGAGTCATTAATCAAATACAAATAAATTTATGCTAGTATTTCTGTTAACAGAGAAAAAGATTACAAGAAAATTCAATTAAGAACACTAAAGACTGTAATTTTATTTAACGTGTTCAAAAGTTCACTTTAAGTTCCTCTGAAAATTTTTCTCACTGAAATGAATAGGGATGGAATTTCCACATTAATTTCCCTCTGCCTAATGCCAAACTCTTGGGGGTGGGAGCTTGAGATAGAATAACAATATTTATTAATTAATTATTGTAAGAGTACCCGGAACCCTTTAAACAGCACCTGAAATAGCAGAGGGTCAATCCAACCAAAAAAGACAAAAATATCCCAATATCAGCCATGATCTCAACTCCAGATAAGTGACCTACCATCATCATCCTTTCGTTTTCTACTTCATTAAGCAATTCAGCAAACTCCTTGAAGGATTCAGCTGGTAGGAGAGAATAAAAGACAAAGCAAATTAATCATGGTTCTTGGTAGACAAGTGGAAGAGATCTGTCCTACACAAATAGAGATCAGTGCCTTAACTTCACACAACTAGTAGAGGAAGGCATCAAATCTAAGATGGTGAGGAGAATGTCTCCAAGGCTGATTGAATGCTTCTCATTTTTTTTCCTTTTCTCCCCAATCTCCTACTATTATGATTTCAATCTAGAAATGTCCCCCCCAAATCTCATGTTTTAGAAGCTTAATTCCCAATGCATCGAGGTTCAGAGGTAGAGCTTTTAGGCAGTGATTAGGGCTGTAACCATTTGATAGAATAATCATCTGAATGGACAACTAGGTGGTAACTATAGGCAGGTGGGGTTTAGCTGGAGGAAGTAGATCACTGGGGGCAGGACTTTGGGATTTATGGTTTGTCCCTAGAACATTTGGTCTCTCTGCTTCCCAGCTGCCATGAGCTGAGCAGCTTCCCACCACCATATCTACCACATTCTGCTTCACCTTGGGCCAGAAAAATGGAGTCAACAAACCACAGACTAAACCTCTGAAACCATGAGTGCAAAGTAAATTTTTCCTCCTCTAACTTGTACTTGTCAGGTATTTTCAACACAAAAATAAGCTGATTAATATCCCTTCAAAACTTCTTTAATATTTTATTTATTCATCATAATCATCCTTAGGAATAGCTAGGAATTCCCTCATTTCATAGACATGCAAAAAGATGTAGGAAGGGGCAATGGGTTTGCTGTATAAAAAATGGCAGCTCTACAATCTCAACACCTGAGCCTGGGTACCTGCTCCACTAGTAACCAACCTAGAACAATTTCTCTTCATTTACCTTTTGTATGTTTTAATTTATTATTTCAGACTGGTTATAGAAATGGAATGAAACATGGGTTTGCAAAAAGATTTTGCAAAGTGTTGTGTCATTTGTCTTTATTTTAGAAGCACTGTGGTGAAGTAAAAAACACATTTGACTTATTAGCTGTGTAACATTAGAAAAGTTACTTAATCTCTCTGAGATCCATTTTATTTATCTAGAAATAATTCTTGCCTCATAGGATTGCTATGATGGTTAAATGACATAACACATGTATAGTTTCCCAACACACATAGTAACCATTCAATAAATGTTAGTTCTGCTCCTTGTTGGGTCTAAAGCAGTGATATTAAACAATGGTTCATTAGAATCACTTGGGGAGCTTAAAAAATATCAATGTCATGCCCTTTTCTACACAAGTTAAACCCAGATTCACCTCTAAAGGAAAATAGTCAACTGTTTTCCTATATTTATGCTACACTCTGACACCAATATGTGGGGTTTTCCCTAACATTAAGCAATTCTCAAGCTCTGCAGAAACCAAATGTGTGTCCTAAAATTCAATTATGATACTTATTACCTAGAGTAAGTGCCAACCCAACAGCTAAAGGTCTCATCCCCTGAAAACTGCCCCCTCCATTTTCCATGTCAGTCACAAGTTCCAGGACGTGAACTGTATACTTCCGACCAACCAGCTATAAATTGGAGGGTTTCATAAACCCCTCCTTGAATTTGATAACCTCCTGGAATGGTTCATTGAACTCAGCAAAATACTAATAGAAGCTTGTATTTTAAAGGATACAACTCAGGAACCACCAAACGGAACACATGCATAAGGCAAGGTATGTGGGGTGCAGAGTCCCTTCTTCCTAGAAGTGCCACCTCCCAGAATTCCCATGTGTTCACCATTTTGGAATCTCCCAAAACCCCATTGTTTATAGTGTTGCTACAGGGGGATTATTATGCATGTCTGACTTGTTGAAGCACAGTCATTTTCCAGGCCCCGTTCCGTCCCTGGATGCTGGAGAGTGGGGTTTAAAGATTTAACCCCTCTAGCCACATGGTTGGTTCCTCTGGCAAATCAACCTCCATACTGCAAGAGTCATCTCATCAACATAAACTCAGGAGTGGCTGAAGAAGATTGTGAATATCAAGACAGTTGTCTGACCTCTAGCACTCAGGAAATTCCAAGGGTTTAGGGTCTTTATGGAGGAATCAGTGACAAAGACCAAATATATGCTTATTATACCACAATATCACAACCTGCTAAGTACCAGAATCTTACAGGACTAAACACAACACAATTGCAGGAGGGAACACCCAGGTTTCAAATTGGATATAAAGCTTAACCACCTAGGAGTATATTATTATATTAACACAAAACAATAAAAATGAATGAACAAAACAGTGATAATGAAATCTTGGCTATGTTCTCATGGTACAGACAGTACTGAGATTCAGCTTCTCTCCTGTTCCCTTTCTGCTTTATTTTTGCTATATTTACCCACCTGACCCTGGCCCAATTTTATCAGATTTTAGACATTAGGTCCAAAATCACATGCAGCAAGGTAATGCTAGTTCCACAGTAAAAGGGGTAAGTTGTATAGTATTATAAAACCATTCACATAATGCTTCAAACCTTTAGCAATACCTACTATTTGCAGCCATCCAGCCTGCAATCATACAACTTTAGTGATGGTAGTAGTAATCAGCTTGAAGCAGTGTGCACAGGACTATGCCAGTTTTAAAACTAAAAGCTCCACATTCCAGAAAAACTGACTCAGTTTGTCTGGGACTGTTAATCCTCCAAGTAACAGAGAACATGCTTTTTCATAAGGTAGGTCATTCCATATATTCAGGATGTCTCTATTAAAAACTCTTTCCTTAATAGTAAGCCCAAATCCATCTCACTGCATTCTAGTTCATATCTACCCAGGTACCTGAAGAAAGATTTTACAGAATTGTAGATAAAGACACACTTTAGAAAAAAACCAATTAGATGGGTATTAGATGATGAGGATTCTATTTTAGGAGACATCACAGAGAAAGAGGAGGGGCATACAGTTTAGAGAGAAATAGATCTAGATTGACAACCTAATTCTATCATCTTCTTGCTGTGTGACATTGGATAAATGATTTGAGCTTCAATTTCCTCACCTGTCAAAAAGACATAATCATACCTATGTAAGGGTATTGCTGTAAGAACAAAATTAGTGGTAACTGTGGAGTGTCATTACCTAGCAAACAATACATATTACCCCTTCCGCCCCTCCCCAACCTTCTACCCTTCTAGAGCCAATGTGTGTTCTCTCTCTCTCTCTCTCTCTCTCTCTCTCTCTCTCTCTCTCTCTCACACACACACACACACACACACACACACACACACACACACACACAAAGTTAAGCTAAGCAGAACTAAGATAAATAGTCTTTAGTGCCTTTAAGGATCCTTTAAATTCTCCAACTTCCTCCAAATAACATGAAGTATAACACCAAATGGTATTTTAAATACAAAGAACATATGGAAAGCCTAGAAAAACAACTGTGTCCAAGTTAATATTTTTAATTAAAAAAGCCTTTAAATAGATTTCCCTTCCTATAAGAACTGGAAAACTAGTTCAGCATTCCTGGTACCAAGGAAACTATATTCAGAGCCAATAGAGGACACAACATAATGACATCTCTTTCTTCTTAGGATTAAGTTGTGACATATACTATGGAACATGTGGAAGTTACCTTACAAAATACCACAAATTCATTCAAGGTTCACCCTTAGCATAGAGAAGATAAATACTTTACTCAGAAAGAGTCAATAGGAAAAAATGGAAATGTTCATTGATCTCTTGTCCCCAAACACTTATTGCTACAAAAGAAGTCAGAGAGATTGTTGTTGTTGTTAATGTTCATCCATTTTGAGTGAGTTTTGCATATGGTATGAGGTAGAAATCCAAATTCTTCCTTTCACATGTGTTACCCAGTTGCCCTGGCACTATTTGCAGAACATTTTTTTCCTCAACTGATCTTAGGACTCTTGTCAAAGTCAACTGGCCATAAGTTACAGGATTATTTCTGGACCCTTCACTCTATCCCATTGATCTCTATGTCTGGCTTTACGCCAGACATAATAACAGCACCTGCATACTGAGTATTAAAATGGGGAAGTATGAATTATCCAACTTTCTTCTTTTTTCAAGATGGTTTGGCTATTCTGGGTCCCTGGAACTTCCATATGAATTTTACTATTACTTTGAAAATTTCTGGGGAAAATGCAGCTATGTCTCTCCTATAGAATATTCCATGTGCACTTGAAAATAACATATTCTTCTTAGGTAGAGTATTCTGCAGGAGTATTCTTCTTCCCCAAGATGTGTTGTTCTTGACATTGCAGTTGGCTTAGTGACTTCATAGACTAATATTATACACTGTATATTCATTGTTATATGAAGCTACTGAAGTTTCTGATCAGTTAAACTTTATGGTTAGCAAATAATTAATAATTAGACAGATTTTTTAAATGGTTTGAACCAATAAGTCTGTGAACATGCTTGAGGGTATGCCTTCAGCACTTAGACAGGCAGTTATAACTCTGCCTTAGCCATCAGATCTTTCTTATGAAGAGTATCAAAGTCAGCCAGAATTGTGAGATTAGAGTCTTCTCAGTTATTTTCTAGACAGGTACACATGTTGGGTGTGTGATCTTTTGGATTTCAAGGACAGATCACAGATTTTCAAAGTTCTCTAAGGCTACTTTATTATTCACTTTTTTTCCTTTTAGATTTATTGTTGAGCTCCCTCTTTGCAATTTTATTCTTTTTGTTCCCTGTGGAAGCAGCAGTACTTCACAATCACTGCTGATTATTTAGAGAAATTCCCTGAAGAAAAAAAATTGTAATGAGCAATCTGTGAGTCAGTTCAAATAATACAAGCCCTGTGAGTGATATTTCCCAGCTTTAAGGGAAATTCAAACCCATTCTGCCTTCTCCAATGGCTGCCAGAATTGTGGTTTTCACACTTTCCTTGATTGTGCAGCCTCTAGTTTTCAAAGCTACTGTGGAACAGAAAAAAGGCAATGGGAATACAGCAAGATAAAATACCACAAAACTCACCTTTCTCCCAATTATTTAGTCATTTTCTTCAATAAACATGCCTTTTATTTTTGCAATATT